GGTGACGCAGACGTCTTGCCCTCCGTCGCCAGACCGCCGCCAGTCCCGACCCCACTCTCCTGCGCCATAGCAGGAGCGCGCGTCGTCGCGGCGCCGGCGAGACTCTCCGCGGCGCTACCAGCAGCAGGCCCAGTGGCCTGGTCACCCTGGTGGCAGTGGGGGCTGGAAGGGTCCCCGTGGTCGTGGTGCGTACCGCCCGCCTGTAACGATGGCTAATCTTCAGCGGGAGGTGTCGAGGGCGGTGCGCGAGGAGAGGGCGGCGCAGAGCCAGAGCAGTTCGCTGCGCGCGGCACCGGCGCATTTGGCTCCCCGTCAGACTCTGCCTCCCGTGGGCCTTGCGCCCGCCGCTGCGTGTCCTCCTCCTCCTCATGCCCCATCGCCTCCTGCTCCTGCTGCCTCGGCCGCTGCTCCTGGCTCGCGTCTCCGTCTTCCCCCTGTTCCGCCGGTGGCGGGTGTGGAGTTCGTTGCTGCTGGTGGTGGGGCGGCGGCGGCGCAGGACACCCTTTATCCTGCTGCGGACGACCCGCTTCCCTTCTTGGCGGTGGCGCTTCAGCCAGCGCAGACCCGTGTCCCTGAGTCGACTCTCGGCCAGCTGCACCGCCTGGCCGAGAGTCTTCACGCTCTGCTGCTGATCCAGGTGTTGGCTCACGCATCTCTCCCCGCGATCCCCCCTGACTCGTTTCGTGACAGGCCGCGTGAGACCTGTCTGGACACGGCGGACCAGCTCGCGCAGCTGCTGGCGCCCGCGTTGGCTGCGCCCGCGGAGGGTGGCGCAGCGGCTGTGGGACAGCTTGACGAAGCTGTCCGGGGCTTGAGGCGTCACTTGCGCGCTGGGTCTGGAGCCGCGGCGATCGGCGCAAGTACGCTGGTGGTCCGCGAGCTGTGGCGGACGTTGACGGGCATCCTCCATGCCCTTGGAGCTCACCGGATGTAGATCCGGGCTCCCCCTGCCCCGTAGATGCCATTGTTGCTTAGGCTGGTGCTGATGCTGCCATTGCGTGTATGCTCTTGCTTTATAGTCGCTGGTATGTGTGTACCCTTGCCGTTCCCTCGCGCGCGGCCGAAGGCCGCGCTGTCGGCGGCCGACGCGAGCCGCTGGGTTAGGAGAAATGAACCCCCGGCTGAATAATGAGCCACCAAACCAGGCCCAAGGCCTTATATACTAGGGGAAGGGGAAGCTGAGAGGCTGAGAGGCTAAGGGACTAAGGGACTATGCCTCTCTCTCTCTCTCTCTCTCTCTCTCTCTCTCTCTCTCTCTCTCTCTCTCTCTCTCTCTCTCTCTCTCTCTCTCTCTCTCTCTCTCTCTCAAGCAGTCCTTCATTGATTTGGCATATAGTGTACAGGCAAGAACGAGTCTAGGCAGGAACAACCAGTAAGAGAGGAGAGCATGCAAGGTGAGCCAGCCCTAAGGTGCTCCCCAATAACAAGTGCCAATCAAGAGCTCCGCCCAAATGGCTCTCACACCCCCTTTCCACCACCGCCGCTCTACTCATACCGTTCCCATCCCTCTTTCTCACCAAGTGCTTCCCTCCCTACCTCTCAAAGCCGCTTACCCAAGGGCACCATCCTCCAGCACTGCCCACAAGTCACCTAACCTCGGCTCCCAAGGGTCCGTGGGTGCTTGTGGGGAGGAGGCCTCCGCTGCGCGGTTGGACTTGGTGAGGAGGCTCGTGGCCTGGCACCGTTGCAGCATAACCGAGAAGCGCTGGCGGTAGTGGGCGTTCAGACGCCCTGCTACCGTTGTCTGTGGGCCGTGGCGGAAGGTGCGTTTGGCCGCATTGGTGGCCAACAACCGGAAGAATTTGACGGTGTCTGCCGCCAGCGCACCATATGTTTCCACCGCTAGCCCTAAGAACCCTACACACGACGGTCGCTCCTGGTACAACTTGTGCTTCCCGATGCAGGCTTCCTCGGCCGCCCACCCTGGTGCCCTAGTTGCCTCGAGGTCCCGGCGCTGGAGGACTGGGTCGGTGACAGTAACGTCGGTCACCCACGTCTCCGACGTCTCCGGGTCGCGAATGGCCAGATCTGCCCTCTTCCTATCCACCGGAGGAGAGTACACCGTTGTCTCGTGCAGCGTCATGTACTTCGCCTCCGTGGCCATGCGCAGGCACGCATAGACCAAGGCATTGTGCGTCCTCGTCCGGTCCCCACCCTCGCCGTAGCGCAGCAGGTGATTGGGTAAGCTTTTGTCGGAAGTGGCAGACCGTTCTCGGTTGCACGGGCATTGGTCCGTGACAGGTAGGGGGAGGCCTAAGCGCAGTCCCAGCGCCAGAGAGAATTGCTCGGGCGACAGAGTGAGGTCCGCTCGGGTCGGTATCGCGTTTAGCCAGTCACCCGCCCCAGCGCCTTATAGGCTGAGCAGCCGCAGCGGGTGTCTGTTGTCAGGTCCTGGTCTGTCTATCCTCGTGTCCGCCACCAGCTCCGCCGCTCTCGCCCTGTTGATGTGATTGGAGAGGAGCTGCTGCAGGTTCTGCTGTGTGTTCAGCTGGGTGCGGTAGTCACTCAGTAACAGTCTTGCTCCTTCTGGCAAGCGAGACTCCAGCTCCGCAAGGGTAGACGGCTCACCCCTGGAGGAGGCGTGATCCGGGGAGAGGAGGGTGGCAACCTTGGCCAGCGCATAGTCCCGCGACGTGTTGAGCTGCTGTAGGAGAATCTGGGCCGCACTAACTGAAGACAGGTAGGCTGCGGGCTCCTCAGAGACCGGATCGATGAGGCCGAGCCCCCAAGTCTGACCGGCAGCGTGGCCTGGCGCCACGTTAGGCTGTGATCCAGCTCATTCGTCTGTGGGTGTATCTTGGCTGCTTCCAATGCCGTCCGCAGAAGGCTCTCACTCCAGCTCCGCCAGTCACTAAGGGGCAAAAGCTGCACTGGTGTAGTCCGGAGTAGGTAAGAGATTCTCCGGGAGATGCATCGGGAGAGGAGGAGCAGCGCGTGCTGAGGGTGCAGCTGTGCGATGAGGTCGCAGGATGAAGCCGCCTTCGTTAGCTCTCGCATAGGAACGACGCGCAGAACTCGGGGGTCCCGATGGGGCTCCCGAGCACCCTGATCCCCCCCCTCCGCCGTTATGCCGTCGGGGAGTTCCACCTCTCTGTCTCCAGCGCCCGGCCCCCAGGCCGATGACTTGGAGAAGTTGCAACGTAGGCCACACCGTTGTAGCCCGCTAACGAGCATCTCAAACGCTCTCCTTGCCGCCTCAGGGGGACCCACTACCGTGATGTCGTCTGCATATGCCACGACTGCAACCTCCGTAAACGCCATGGCGACTTGAAGGAGCGTGGGCTGAATGGCGGCGGCAAAGAGTAGCGGTCCCAACGGCTCCTCGCGCGAGCTCATGATTTTCTCTGACCCAAACGCCGCGTCTAGGAGTAAAGGCGAAGCTCCATCGTACAGGTTCCGTACTAGCGGGATCAAGGGGTTGAGTTCCGACCACTGTAGCGCGTTCATGAAGGCTCCTCTCTCTACGCTATTGAAGGCGTTTTCCACGTCTAACTGTAGGGCCACGCGTGAGCCATCTTCGTCAAGCAGCGCCCGAACAGAGTGTATAATACACTCGGCGCCTCCTTGAACCGCAACACCTAGCTGGACTGGGAGGAAGAAGCTCCTAATCGCTGCGCCCAGCTCACACAGAGCTGCTTTTGCTACGACACGCAAGATGCTTTCCCCAATAGCGATTGGGCGAACCCCACCTCCCGGCTTCTCTAGGGCTATGAGCCGGGAAGGAAGGAGCAGGTCCCGTATCTGCTGAGGGACGAAGTTGCTCAGCAGGTAGTTGGTTGCACCACGAAGTAGCGTCAGCACTTCCTCATTCCCCAGGGCTGGATCGCGCAGATGTTCGAAGCAAGTTCCAGACGGGCCTGCACCAACGCCGCTCGGGCACTTCATGAGGATGCTGCGAAAGTTCTCCTGACTGACTGAAAGCTCGGAGTTCAGCTCCCCCGCCACCCAGAAAGGCGTTGGTAACCCCGCCTCCGGGTGTTTCGCTCGCAGGGCCGCGACAGTCTCAGTAGTGGCTTTCGCCAGGGGGGTTGTCTGTAACGCCGAGCACGCTTTGGAGAGGTTACCCTTCCGAACCAGGCCCTCAGCCCTGGAACAGAGCCCTGTGGCATCGGGCTGGTGTCTCACTGGCTCCTGGTTCGGGGGGATAGTGGCAGCCTCATTGTACAAATTCTCCCATTCGCCCAGCCTGAATTTGTGCAGCGGCGACTCGATTTCAGCCCAACGGTTCCCAAGCGTCTCCTTGGGTTGAGGACGAAGTGTCAGACGCGGAAGGAAGCAAAGCACTCGCCACGCATTTGGACAGTTGGGATTCTTGGCAATCCTCAGGAGGGGCGTGAGTAGACACAGCAAGTAGTTCGCCAGCACGTCAGGCGGCAGTCGCCTCGCCAGAAATGGTTGGTCGCCGCGTGTTAGTTTTCCGACATCCCAGGCTTCAGTCTTCAGCCACAGCTCTTCCATGGTCGCCAGCTCATCCGGCGATCGGACGTCCTGGGCCCTACTTTCCCCCGCCGCGCCTGACACGAATGCACCCGTGGTGCCAGCTGAGCGCTGATCCACCGCGACACCACTGGGTCGACGATTGCCCATGCCACGTCGCGCCATCGTCCCTTCCTCCTGGAGTGATACTGCCTCCGAGGATGGAAGGTGGCATCGTTGGAGGAGCGATCCTCATCGTCCATGTCCACAGCAGCTCCGCCCTCATCCTCATCGACGGCCAAGATTTCTCGTCCGTGTCTCTCACGCCAGGAACCCACTCTCGTTGGTTCTGGCGGGGCGCGGGCTCTTGCGCCGCGTCTCCTTCCGCCTCTCGTGTGCGCGCCTAACGTACCCCCGGCTCTGCCCGCCGGTCGCCACGGTGTGGCTGGTGCAACCCACCGTACCCGTGCCCTGGCCCGCATCGCCACAGGCGGAGGCTGCGCCGTCTGCGGCGCTGGTTCTCCCGCGGCTCTGCGCGCTTGTCGCTCCCGACGCTGCTGCCTTTGCGTTGCCACGTCCGCCACTCATGATGCCTCCTCAGCGTCGGGGCCCGGCACCGCCCGCTCTTGCTCGTGCGGCGTCGGTTCTTGCCGAGCCCACTCGTGGAGAGGCCCTGGGCGGGCAGGTGCCAGCGCTACTCCGAGCCGTCGCGGCGTTGGCTGAAGGCGGGGCCGCCCCCTCGCACCCCGGCCAGCCCTGGCGCTCCCCATAGAATCGTTCGCTTCGTGCGCGGGCCCATCCCTACAGGCGCCCTCCTGCGCAGCACCATCAGCAGCAGCCGCGTCGCCGTCGGCGGGATCCCCGGGGGCGCGCGCAGTCTCAGCCCCGCACGGTGCAGCCGCCCCAGCAGCAGCAGCGGCATTCGTCACAGCCGGATCCACAGCAGCAGCCACACCCGCCGCGTCCTGCATCTCCTCCTGCCCTGTCGCCACCTCCGCAACCTCCCCACCACCACGGCTCCCTTCCCCCGCCGCTGAATTCGGCGCCTCCTGTCCCGCCCTCCCCTGCTCCCGCTGGTCCGCCACCGGGTCCGTCGCTGCCACGCAATGTGGCTGCGACACCTGGCACCCCTCCTCCAGGGGCCTTTCCGTGGGAGTCGTTGCCGCCTGGCGCGCTTGAGGCTCCTCCTCCTGACCAACCCCAGCACCGGTGGAGCCTGTGGGATGACACTCCCCCTGTCGAGAGAGCGCTTCGCGTCGAGCGGCGCGTATCGAACGTGGGGACGTGTTTGACGCTGGTGGCCGACGTGCTGGACCAGTTGTGCGTTTATCAGCAGCGTTTGCGCTGTCCCGGCGCTGTGCCCCCCTTGATGTCAAAGCAGGAGCAGTCGAAGGCAGTCTCCTCGGCGATGCAGATTTTGGAGTTGCTGCCTGAGATCGGTTTCGTGCCCGGCTCACCCGGTTCTGCTTTGGGGCCTGGCCCGGCGGCAATGCGGCGGCTTGTCCTTGCCGCGTTGCAGCATCTGCTCGACATCGTACCAGCCGCCGCATCCGTGCTGCGCTGGATGGACGAGCGATTGGCCTGGATCCTTGCCGAGTAGCGGTGCCTCTCCCCGTGCCCGCCTGCGTCGGTCCAGGCTTGGGCTTGGGCTTCCTCATGGCGGTGTAGGCACGCCCGGGGGTGCTGTGCGTACGTCGTTGTTGCTAGTGCTCCATGTATCCTTCGCTGTTTATTGTAGCACACTTGTCACCTTGTCCTTGTCACCGCTCACGCGCGGCCGAAGGCCGCGCCGGCGAGCGACGGCCGCCGAAGGCGGCCGGAGCGAGACGCCGGTTTTGGAGAGTAAACTAAACTCACCAGTGAAGAATGAGCCCCATGGGCAAGGAACTAGGGACTTTATACAAGGGAAACACGCCTAAAAACGGCTAAGGACTAGGGACTAGGCTAAAGAGGGTGAAAAACGGCTAAGGACTGGTCCCAAGCCATCTCTCCCTCTCTCTCTCTCTCTCTCTCTCTCTCTCTCTCTCTCTCTCTCTCTCTCTCTCTCTCTCTCTCTCTCTCTCTCTCTCTCAAACGGTCCTTGCATTGAAAAAGAAAGTAAGTACAAACATGCAGAGCATAAAAAACCAGCAATGATAGATACTAGAGACACCTTAGGCAACAAGCCACACCCCCCCCCCCCCCCCCCCATCACCCTACTCAATCCCAAACCCCGGCTCTAGAGTGGCAAAACAATCACCCGGGTACAAGTCTCCTTCTAACCCACTCAGAGGTGGGTTCTCAATCTGGGCCGCTATGTTAAGTTTGGTGAGGTAGCTCACGGCCTGTGCCTTCTGCAGGGCCACCGACCAGCGCTGACGGTATTGGTGTAGCATCTTCGCAGCCTGGTAGGATTTGGGGGGAGCGTTTAAAGTGCCTCCTTGCTGCATATTCCGAGAGTTGCTTGAGGAAAGCCGGGACCTCGTCACACGGGCAGCCGTAGGTCTCTACTGCAAGGGGGAAGAAGCCTGCAAAAGATGAACGGTTTCGGTAGAGGTCAATCTTTTTGTCAGCTGCTTCCCTTGCTGCCCACCCCCTTCCCTTTGTGGCCTGCTCATCCCTCTTGCTGATGGGATCGGTGATGGTTATATCCCCCAGCCACACCGAGCCTGAGGTACGGTCCCGGATGGCGATGTCTGCTCGCTTGTTGTCCACCGGGCTAAACGCTTTTGTTTCTTTATGTGTCATGTACCCCGCATCCTCTGCCATTCGGGCGCACTCATCACGTAGTTCGTTGTGGGTGTTCGTGCGCCCACGCCCAAAACCACAGCGTAGAAGGTGGTTTGGCAGCCGCTTGTCTTTGATTTCAGTCCTGTTGTTGCAGTCACAGTGGCCTGGGACGGGTAGCGGCATGCCCAGCCGAAACTGTAGGGCAAATGCGAAGTGCTCTGGTTTGAGGCGAAGGCTACTCATGTAAGGGATAGCTAACAGCCAGTCCCCCGCCCCGTACCCCGAAAGGGAGATTAGCCGCTGCGTGTGGCCCATTAACGGGTTCAGCGTCACCTGCTCTGCGTAGCGGCTGGCCTGCGTGAGGCGGGCTAGGCGGTGTTGCAGCTGTCCTGTTGGGTTGGCCAGTTCCGCCTCTAGCAGCTCCGCGGCCTCCTGGCACAAAGCACCTTTGCAGGCGTGCAGCCACGCCTGCAGCGGGTCCGAGTCGGGGTCAACCTCGGGCGACCAAGAGAAAGCCGATGTCAGGGTAGGCCCTGCTGCCCCAGGTACCTCTGCGAGAAGTGTCAGTGCCTGGGCAAACGAAGCTAAGTAGCTGTACCGTCCCTCTACTGCAGGGTCTAAGATCCCGACACCTCCTAGGGACGGGGGGAGGGATGCCTGGCCCCATACCCTGGTCTCCTCCTCCTCTCCCCTGGGTGGCTGCACCCCACAGGCCTTGAATAGTGTGAGCAACAGGGCGTGACCCCATTGTGACCATTCAGCCTCCGGAAGCATGTAGAGCGGTGTGGTGCGGGCTAGGTAGGAGATGCGCCGGGAGATGCACTTCGTCAGTAGAAGTGACGCCAGCTGCGGGTCCATTCCAGCAATGAGGGGCAGGGGAGAAGCCAGTGATTCGAGCTGCCCCCGTAGGAATTCTGCAGCTCCTTCCGTCGGGCCAATGTAGCTTCTTAGAAGTCGTAGACCGTCCGGGTGGAACGGTACCCCCTCCGGTAGGGCACACCCGTCAGCCCCCCGAGCGTTCCATGCTGCACATTTCGCGGGGTTGTGAGACAGCCCCGCCCTCCGTAAGCCGCTGGTGAAATGATTAAACGTCGCTGTGCACTCTGCCGCATTTCCTAAAAACGTTACGTCATCTGCGTAAGCTAGGCATAGTATCGTGGGGAAAGCAGCGGCTGTGTCCCTTAGAGCTGGATTGATGCCTGCTGCAAAGAGTAGGGGGCCGAGGGGATCCCCTTGGCGCACTCCGGTTTCACTGGTGAGAGGTGGGCTGTGGAAGCCGTGGTCGAGGTAGAGCAGCGAGGGCGCACCGTATGAGACCTTGGCTAGTGGTAGTAGGCTTTCTAGCGGTGAACCCCTGAGGGCCTCAACTATGGCGCCCCTACTGATGCTGTTAAAAGCGTTTGTTAAGTCCGTCTGCAGGATCAGTGAGTCTGGGTTAGAGGCCGTATAGGCACGCGCTGTGTGGATTATGGCCTCGCTTCCTCCCTGCACCGCGACACATAACTGAAGGGGGAGGAAGAAGCTACGCGCTGCTTCTGAGAGCGTTGCCAGTGCAGATTTAGCGGCTAGGCGCAGGAGGCATTCGCCGACAGCTATCGGCCTTGTGCCCCCTTCTGGCTTAGTGAGTGCGATGAGACGTGACGAGGTGAGGAGCGAGCACACTTCAGGGGGGAGAGAACCCCTCATGATGGTGTTGACTAGGGCGTGTAGGTGGGTGGCTACGGAGGGATTAATGATTGCAGCATCGCGAAGATGCTCGAACGTCATTCCAGAGGGGCCGCCGCCAACACCATTCTCGCTGCGGTTCAGGATTTTGGTAAAGTCCGACTTGGAAATTTCTGGGGCGGGTGGGGTGGCTGTGGTGTTCTAGTCGGTTGGGGTAGGTGGTGCTGGGGGGTGCTTTGACTTCAATGACTCGAGCACCTCAGGTGATGGAGTTGCAACAGGAGTTGACTCGAGGGCCAGCACTGCGCGCCTGAGGCTCCCTTTCCGCGCCAAACCTTCCGCCCTGGCACGAGTGCCCATGCTATCTTGTTGGTGGCGGTGGCGGGGCCGTGTTGGATATTGCTGCTACGCTGGCCTCTTAGAGCGTGTCCCATTCGCCCTTGAAAAATTGTTGAAGTCGCAGGTTCACCGAATGCCAGTCTGGCTTCGACGGAGTCGCCTGGCGAAGAATAAGGCGCGGGAGAAAGAGTAACAGGCGCCACCCCCCGACCGAGTCGGGGTTTCGCGAGAGGTGTAACAGCGGCGTGAGCAGCGCCAGGGCGAATTGGATACGAACGTCAGACGGTAATTTCCGGGCCAGAGGGGGCTGACGACTGTCGCGAAGGTGGGTCAGGTCCCAATTTCCCACCCCTGACGAAAAACTCGATGTCCCTCGCCAACTGTTCGGCTGAGAATTGGCGGGGCTGGTTGTCAGCACCCATCTGGACCGAACCAGCCACATTGCCCCCCCTTCTCGTGTTGTTGTGAGCTGGTGCGATTCGTCGATGTGCTGCCGCTGGGTTTCTGGCTTCAGCCACTTCATCCGCGTCTACTCCCGCTGAGCCCTCGGTAGACGAGCTTGCTCCCTCCGGCAATTCATAAGTAGCGTCTTGTCTCTCCTCTTCCTCAGTCGTTCGATTTAAATCCCTTCTCGCCTCTCGTTGATAGCCATTCTCCGGTCCACCTCCTCTCCCCCTCGTGCGCTCCGCAGCTCCTCTCCCTCGCAATGCCTGTGGCCCTTGGTGACAGTTACCCGTTCCCGTATTCGCCGCGGCCCTTTGGCGTGGCGTCGTCTGTGCTTGCCTCGCCGGTTCCGTCCCACCCTGCGGTGCCCGTGATGATGATGTCTGCCGCCGGTCCACCTGCTCGCGTGACGGGCTCCATGGTAGTCGACTCTGCACCAGTGTCGCTTGGTGCGCGCGTATCAGTGCCGTCCGCGGTGGAGCCGGCGCCTCTGCCTGCCGTCGCTCTTGCTCCTGCGGCTGTCCCGGCTCCTCCTCTCGAACCAAACGCCACGCCTCCTCTTGCGCCTCCCGCTGTGGCGTTGCATTCGGCTGCTCCAGTGCCGCTCGTTGTGGGAGCGGATGCCGAGTCGCCTGCCCCTGGTGATGTGCCTCAGCGTGCGTCTGTTGCTGAAGCGCTCCCGGTAGCTCCTGTGGTCGAGAAGGTGGTGCAGGCGGCTGCAGTGCCTGGTGCGTCTGCCGTTCAACCTGCCCCTCCGGTAGCTGTATCTCCCCTGTCTGCTGGCGCTGCCCTCCCGTCAGCCGGGGCTGCGCCTCAGTTGCCTCGAAACGAACAGGTGTTCCCCGATCCTCAGCGCTGGCCTCCCTCCCCTGGGCCCCGTCCGTCGCGTCCACACTCGCCCTCGCCCCGTGATGGTCGTGAGTCCTCGCGGCGTCGGCAGGACTCTCCACAGCGCCGCCAGGCACAGGCAAACTGGCCGGCTCATCACGGCGGTCGTGGTGGCTGGAGGGGAGATCGGGGTCGCGGGCGTGGGGGTGCGTATCAGGCTCCGTTGACCCCCGTCGCCATTCGGCAGATTGTGCCAGAGGCGATGCGTGAGGAGCGGGCCGAAGCAGCCGGTCGCAGCTTTTCGCAGCAGGCATTGCCTCCGCCTGCTGCAGCTCCTCATGTTGCGCGCTCGGTGGCTGCTCCGCCCACCCCGGCTCCTGTTCCGGCCTCCTCGGGCCCTGCTGCTGTTGTTGGACCGCCGTCCGCCCCTGCTGCTCCCCTCCTGTCCCTTGCAGGGGTCCCTGCCCCGCGGGTTCATGTTCCAGAGGCGACCCTTGGTCACCTGTGGCGGCTCGCTGAGAGCCTCCGTGCCCTCCTAGTTGTGCAGGTTGTGGCGCACGCTTCT